TCCTGCCCTAGGGACCTTGGTTGTGTGTGTGTGTGTGTGTGTGTGTGTGTGTGTGTGTGTGTAATATCTTAATATACATCTTTCTCCTGCATTTCCGGAGATGTCTTGATGTTTCCCATTGGCATGTTTGGTAGTCCCTACTGTCCTGGTATTTTCCATTAGAGAAAGTGTATTGGCTCTGTTATTGACATATTGCCTTAGCCCCCAGCATCACACAGGTGTTTGGGACCTTCTGACCTAACGTGCTTACCAGAAAACACAGGCCCAGCAGCCCCACAAGAGGGACAACAAGCCTGTATAGTTGCTCTGTGTGTGTGCCCAGATTCCAATACATTCCTCTTATCTCAAGAGGCCCCTGTATTCTAGGAAGGAGTGCTGGGCAGCACGTTGCCTACTACCCCCACCCCCAGGCTGACCTTCAAGGCTCTTCTGTGGGGCTCGTCCACCTACCCAGGTGGCTTGATGCCCTGTGCTAATGGCAGGTGCAGTGTCAAAGGTACCACGTGCCCTAGAGGTGGATGGCGTGGCTGGTTCCTGGCTCTACCACCCACCAGCCCTGAACAGTTCACTTCACCAACCCTCTGTTTCTTCACCTCTTAAAAGGTGATGCCACCTGCAAGGGTGAAGAAGCATCTGCCCTCCACCCCTGCAAAATAGAAGTCCCAAAGGACAGAGCCAAACAGAGGGTCCCCAGCTCAGTGAAGTGCTGAGTGGCTTTTGATGAATGGCTCTGCTGACTCCTCATCCTCCCCCTGCCTTCTCAGGGGCCTGATGTTGGTTTTAATAGCTCCCACCAGCCCAGAAGGCAACCCAGGCTCTCATCTTCTCCATCACTTCTGGGCAAACAACCCCCAAATTCAAGTCTCCAGCCCTGCACTCTTGCCCAGACCAGAGTCTTGCATCTCTTCTGCATCCTGGGCATTTCCACTGACCTGTCTAGACATCTCAGGCTCCCTGCCACAAAGTGGGCCTTACCTGCCTTTATTCTACCCCAGATTGTCATTTCAAAATTGTTATTAAAGAGTAATAGACTTTTTGGAGTGCCTGGGTGGCTCAGTAGGTTAAGCATCCGACTCTTGACTTTAGCTCAGGTAATAATCTCACCATTTGTGGGATTGAACCCTGCATCGAGCTCTGTGCTGACAGCATGGGACCTGCTTGGGATTATCTCTCTCTCTCTCTTAAAATAAATAAATAAACATTTAAAAAAAAAAAACAAGAGTAATAGACTTCCATCAAAGTGTACTATTCAGACGTATACAGCTTGGTGAATTTTCAGGAACTAACACACCCAGCTAACCAGCACGCAGATGGAGACACAGAACATCATCAGCCCCCAGATGTCCTTCCTGCTCCCCATCCAGTGGTGGTTGTCCCACAGATTTCTCTCAGGTTAGCCTATTTCAAACCCTGTGTAAATGGAATCATACAATCTGTATTCTCTTATGCTTTCCTTCTTTTGTTCAATATTGTGAGATACATCCCTACCGTCGCCTGGAGTCCTCAGACACTCATTTTCTTGTGGCACAAATAAATCATTATTTATCCACTGATGAGCCATTGGGCTGTTTCCCTCTGGGGCTGTTATGAGCGGTACCATATCAAACTTTGTGGTGCGTGCGTGTCTTTTGATGTGACGGATGCACATCTTTCGTCTGTGCATGTTGTTGGGAAGGAATTGCAGGGCGGTGGGCGGTGCAGATGCCCACTCCAGCAGACACCGCCAGGCAGTTCCCTAAAGTGGTTATAGGTCCATTTCTCCCAGCAGTGGATGTAAGTTCTGACTGCTCCACATCCTCACTAACACTTGACACCATTTTTGATTCACTCATCCTTCACCCCATGCCCATCTGTGTCCCTTTTTCCTCCCAGATTATATCCCAGATTATCATTGTGTGCAGTCCTTTCCCCTTGACACTGCCCTGCTTCAGGTCCAGGCGCTGTGAACTCCCGCCAGCCTCCCTAGCTTTGGCCTTCAGGCTCCGTGAAGCACTCCCAGCTAACCCCCCCTAAATGCAGCTTTAATCATCATGCTGTTCTTTCCACAGACCTTCAATCGCTCCTGATCTCCTGTTACATTAGAGCTACATCTTTTGTTTGCCTGGCTTTGGACACTGTCTGCAAACCTACTCAATGATCAAGTAGACCCCATCTTTCCCTTGGGCCTCAGTGCCACTTCAACAACTCTTGTTTGGTGAATTCCAATGCCTCAGTCCCTCTCCCGAAAGTCTGAGACATCAGCTTCTCTGGCAGGAAAACTGTCCTCCTTGTTAGCAATTCTGTAAGAAACCCCCCAGCTGGAGAGGGTTAGTGCTGGCAGAGCCTTAGAGAACCTGTTCCAACACCCTGTTTCCAAAGAAGCCTCGAGTTATAAAGAATTTTTTTAATCCTAATGACTTGGCAGGTATTTTTGTGACTTTCTTATAGTGACAACTATTATTTCTTCTTTGCTGGAAGCTTTGATCTGAAAAAGCATCAGAGCTTGGATATTAGCTGGATGGGGAAACAGGGGCAACAGATAGATATTCCAAGTCAGCTCTGCTTTTAAAACCTCTTCTCAGTGAGAGAAACACCCTCAGCGGAAGTTGTCAAACAGCCACCACATCTAAGGAGCTTTCTGATCAGTAGAAAGTTTTTGAAATCTCTTGTCATTACAGAGAATCACAGAAATAAATGCAGGGGAAACAGAAATCAGATTTTTCTTCTCCCACATTTTAAAAAGGCAAGTAAAATTATGTGTTTTGCTTGCTTACAATTTCTTAGAGTTGTTACTTAAATTCTTTACACAAGGAACCCCAATATACTCAAGTTCATATTGCCCATATTTAGAGCTTAGAGCATAATTTTTCTATTTCAAATGGCCAGAGAGATTCATAGGCCTATCTTTTCTTTTATAATGTAGCATTTTTTTCATCTGTACTTCTGATGCTGAGTCCTTCGGAAGGCATTCAATGCCTGGCTAGTGTATCCTATCATGGGGAAGCAGATGTCAGAGGGCACTGTCAATCTGGATGCCTTGCACAGATGGAGAACTGCCTTCCTTGTGGACCCAAGTGGGGGCTGGACCTATGACCCACAGCACACACCATCCCATGCAATCGTGAGGCTGTTCACAGCCCACCAACATGCCATGGTTCTCTTGGCTGACTGTCAAGTTTCTCCCTGAAAGGCTGTTCCATCTTTTCCTGCCTTCACTAAATGCTGCTCAGACGTCAAGGGCCCTGTGAGGCCTGTATCTTCAGTAAAGCCCCCTCTGCCTACTCCAGACACCACTGATATTATCCAAACTCTTCTAGCTCTAAACACTGCTCACAATTTAGCACTTCATTGCACATCATCTTGTATCATTTAAGAGAGCCCTAAAAGCTGCCAGTTCTTGATTAAACTTGACAGGCATCTTGTCCCTCCCTGGAAGACTGCATGATGGGCTTCCTTGTAGGTTAATGATATTACACATCCCTTCTGTGCTGAAGGAAAAGTTCCTTTCTGCCTATACCATGGCCATTGACCACATACAGCCTTGAACCTGACACTAACATTCTCCTGTGTCTTATTGCTGCTCCAGATGTGAGAACTATCTTATACTTTGTCTCATCTGCTGCAGTCATGAGGACTTACCTTCGTATGGTAGGATGGAAAATTGGGGATGAATAAATGGCAGGTAGCTAGAGGGAGTGGGGTGCGTCATAGCACAGCCTACAGCCTGAGAGAAGATGCTGAGTCTTAGGTCAGCAGGAGAGCAGCATACTGCCCAAGGCGTCATGAGTATACAGCCTAAGACCTGGGATGTAGAGAGGTGAGGAGTCAGCCATACCCCATCCCCAATCTCCGGAAAGCCCAGGCCTCCTGGGTTTAGGGTGAGCCCAGGTTGATAGCTGGGATTGGGACTGTCTTATGTCATCACACTGATCTCCACCATGGAGACCCTGAAGGTGCAGGCTTCCTTCCTGCTTACCCACTCTCAGGATGACTCAGTGACCCAAAAGTGGCCAGCCTGCATGCCTAGAGCTGGAGCTCAATCCTCCCCAATTTTAAGACAGTTCTAGAGGCAAGCCAGAGCCTCTGACCACAAAGGCTGACCTGTAAGCTTGAGCACTGGGTGTTTGGTGTCTATGGTTGATTGACCTGTGGCAGGAGCAAATGAATAAGGGCCATCCATGTGTGTTCCAGATGGCAGGGGCCCTGCCTCTGAACTACATATCCCAGTCATAATGCTCTACCCCACTCTGAGGACTGTATTTGAGGGAAATCCACCCCACCCTCTTGTTACCCCAAAGACACACACACACCTATCTCAGTACCATACAAGAACTCACCTCAGCCCATCAAGTCTCCACAGTCACAGGTCTTTCACCCATTTATTCATCCATATACTCAATGAAGAGCTACTGGGGAACTTTATGAGGCAGACACTGAGCTCAAAACTGGGGCTGCAAGGGCACCTGAGTGGCTTAGTTGGTTAAGTGTTGACTTCGGCCTTGGACATGAATTCGTGGTTCATGAGTTCGAGCCCCATGTCAGACTCTGTGCTGACAGCTTGGAGCCTGGAGCCTGTTTCAGATTCTGTGCCTCTCTCTGCTCCTCCCTCACTAGTGCTCTGTCTCGCTCTCTCAAAAATAAACATTTAAAAAAAAAAAAAAAAAAAAAACTAGGGCTACAGCAGCCAACAGCACCAGCCCAGACTCTGCCCTCAGGAATCTTGCAGTCTAGTGGGCAAACTCAGTGGAGCAAAAGCTCACATAATTATGTAATTACAAACAATGGTCAAACCGTGACAGAAAGCAAGACTCTGGGAGATGCATGTCATGACTGCAGCCCTGGCCTGAAGAGTCACCTTCCCTTAAACAGTGAGTCTCATTGAAGGACAATTTAGCCACCCTTGCCCCAGGGTAGGAGTGATAGCAAATGGGAAGGCACATTTGTAACATGTATGCAACATGTCTATTGGATAGGGTAGGCTATAAAATGTACAGTTCCACATAGGTGTTTTTGCCTTTCAGCCAAAGCAGTTGCATACCAGGGTGAGGCGTGGGAATTATTGCAGGGGCCCCAGGGTCAAAAAGCCAAGGAAGCCCAGATGGAGAACCAAGTCGTGGGAGCCCCCATGGCAACTGCTCAGGTAAGATCCTGAGCCCTGGGGGGGGGGGCGGGGGGGGGGGNGGGGGGGGGGGGGGGGGGGGGGGGGGGGGGCGTTGCTCCTGTAGTGTGAGGGTGTTTGTCCTGTGGGTGGCCAGGATGCAGTGGCCTCTGGCTGGACCACAAGTGCTGCTGCCAGGCTCCCTAGGCAAGAGGAAGCTGCCCCTGTGCATGCAAGCTTCACCATCTCATGACCTGAGATAATCTCTCTGCGGTCGGTCGCTGCAGGCTACAAGGCACTCGCCAAGCCCATGTGAAGCAATCGGCATCAGGCAGAGGGTGAGGCCTGATGGAGTAGCCTGATGGAGTCTAATGGGATGATGAGGCTTCTCGTGGAGTGCTGCCTCCCACCAACGTGGCCCAGCCTGTGACAGCATGCTCCATGCTGCCAGCTGGAATGGCACAATGACTCACATGGGCTCTCCATGGCGTCTCCAACCAAACCATCGGAATTCGTAAACTGTCGCCACTCCGGGGGTTTGAATCCACCCCTTTTCACCGCGTCTCAAGGACAGAGATGTTTGAGAGGGTGCTTCCAAAACTTTAATGTGCGTGCAAGTCCCCTGGGGACCTGATTAAAATGCAGATTCCAGTTCCAGAAGGCTGATTAGGGCTGAGATTCTTCATTTCTGAAAAAGTTCCCAGGGATGTCGATGCTGCTGGTCTGAGGACACTTTAAAGACTCGAGAACATTAAAAAGAGTGAATGAAATGAAACCTTCCCCACTTCTCTGTAAGTGAGGAGGATCAGACCCACCATCCACTGCTCACTCAGCAAGCATTTGTTGAGCCTTAGAACTGAGGCCCTGATGGCACCACTGGCAGAAATAAGGAAGTCAGAGGTAAGAACTATTTTAGCTGGATTTAGATGGATGGTAAGAGCTGTTCAGATGGATAAGGTAAAGATAAAGATTACCTTTTGCTAAATGCCTATCATGCCCCATGACCTTGTTTAATCTTTGAATTTGGCAAGGGAGGTATTATTGATCTCATTATTAATTTCATAATGGAATTAAGGCTTGGAAAGGTGAAGTAATCTTCCCCAGGGTGGGATAGCTGGCTAGAATTTTAATCTGGTCTGTCAAACTCCAAACCCCAGCCCACCTCACAGTAACACATGTCCTTGCTTTGGAGGGTAAGGAAGTAGGATTAGATTCAGTCTGGTGGTTCTCAACCTTGCTGGCATGTTAGAATCATCAAGACTTTTAAAGCTCCCACATCCCAAACCAATGACATCAGACTCTCCACAATCAGCATTTTGTCAAGCCCCCCAGCAACTCCAATGTGCACACAAGACAGAGAGTCACTGAGTCAGTCCTGCTGCCCTTCTAATTTGAGAACCTGATGGATGAAGTCCAATTTCATCAGAACTAGTACCTCTCAATTCCTACTCCAGGACTCCTTTCAAGAAATCAGCTAGAAACAAAATGATATAGTAGGGTGAAGCAAGACCAGAGAGGATGGAGGATGGAGGTGTTTACCAGGGAAAAATATATAGAAAAGAGCAGAAAATGTCAGCCAATGCTAGAGTACTTAAGACATTTAGTAGTTGCAGGGAAGATTCAGAAAGGTAGAAAAGCTCACCAAACCAAAGTCCTTGACTCATCTCTAAGTCGTCCTAGTATATGCTAGACAATGGATAGACGAGTGAATGGATGGAATAAGGAAGATGGGGTGGGTCCCATGGACAAGGAAATCTGAAACCCAAGTTGAGCAGAGAAGTGGGGACTCATACTGGAATTGAGGGAAGGGATAATGAAGGGAGAAAAGCTTTCACCTAGTACAAAGCTACCATCACAAAAGGGAGTAGTCCATTAGGAAACCACATTTTGGGATTTTATTCTTAGGATTGGGATTGTTTTTTAATAATAGGATGGAATGTACCAAGTGGGGGAAAATACAACAATCTGTTTGAAGCGAAACAAAACAAAACAAATCCTTGAAGATCTTCTAGAGACTCAGTGCATCATCTCTTGCCATAATCAAGATGAAAGACTGAGGCTGCCCACCAGACCTTCATATAGAAATCTCAGATTCTACCCCAAGCAAAACTCTGAGTCCTCCACTGGCCCACAAAGCTGCCTCTGGGTAATTTTTATGCCTCCCAAGTCTTTAACAGATGTTGATTTAAAACTAGTTTCACCTTTTAAAATGTTGGGGATGAGAAGCTATTGAGAAATTGGTGGTCAGCTTTACATGGCAGTTGACTTCCCTCTCTGAGATTCTGGTAAACCCCAGATTCTGCAAAAGTATGAGTCAAGAGGAGTCAAAACTGAGTGGTGTTGGACATTAAGAGTCCACATGGGGATATTATTTTGCTCATCACTTATCAGTATGTTTGTTTAAATTTGTCACTGGATTTTCCCCATAATTCAACAGTGTTTAGTTCATTTATCATTAATGTCTGTGTGGGTTTAATGATGAGCCCACAGACCTTCATCTTCAAAGACGACATTGCCTGAGCTATATCTCAGGTGTTTTTCTGCAAAGAGGAAGGACTTTGCCACAACCACTCAGGCTCCTCTGGCCCACTTTGTCATGCTGGCCAAAGTTCCAAAAAGCTGAGTCCTATCCTGCCTTCTTCCATTTGGAAACAATGTCAATGGGGTGTTTTTTCAACTAAGGATTATAACAGTGTTGAGAATTGCCCATGCTTTCTTTAAAAATAGGAGTTTGTGACTAATTGTGAACTCTTCTTCCAGTCTTATTGCATTTTTACATCTTAATTTTATATAAGAAATTGAATCTTTTTATTTTCAAATAGCTATGTACAGGGAACAATGGCGCTATAATGATTTTTTTTTAAGTTTTAACAAGAGATGTTGCACCAAAAAATCTATTACGCCTTCTCCACTGGGTTTAATTTTGGTTTTGAAAGAAACATGGCTTCAACTTCACTCTCTAACAACAAGATGCGGTGTCAGACTTGCACGGGATTCTCCCCCATGTCTATCATTGTGTGCCTGCACAACTGCGTTTCTAAAGCCAAGAATTGCTAAGATTTGAGTTAAGGCTTCAAGTTGAGGACTGCTAAGGCTCTGATGTAAATCAGTGGCCAGCCTAGCTGAGGATGCAGTATGGTCCACCTTTGAGTTGGTTGGCAGACAGGTAGGAGAGTTGCTTAGTTTAGTCTCAAGGTCCAGACTCTCTGCTTTGGCCTCCACCCCAACCTCAGCAGATGCCAAAGGTAGGGAAAGAGGAGGCAAGGAGACTAGAAAGACAGGTGAAGGCAAGGAGATTGTGAATCCCTCTCTAGCTCTAGGCTGCCTGTTGGTATGAGGCAAAGGATGGTAATGGGGTACATTTCCGAAAACCAGAAAACTGTGTAGCCAGCACTCAGCAAGCCTCCAGTTCAGACAACTGTGAGGAACCCAAGCCAGCGGCCACCTCCTGAGCTCCAGAGGGCGGCCTCACGTAACATGTCCACACCATCTCTTGCAGCTTCCTGGTAGCATTCCTGCCAGATCACTCTGTGATACTCGCCAGTGAGTAATGCCCATTCTGGGAGTGGCCTCAGCCCATCCCACCCAAACTCTGGTGGCTGATGTCTTTGGCAAGAGCCTATAACCCTTTACCCAGAGAGCCCCATGGGCAATGGTGGTGCCAGCTCATCCCACTTTCTTTTCCGGACCTGATAATAAAATGAAGCTCTACTCCCTAAGCTTGGAGCCAACATCACAATATCTTTAATGGTGAGGAAACAATTGAATGAGTTTTAAATTAGTCTCAAGAGAGAGTCAGGGAAACAAGTCCATGCCGTTCCCCAGAACTCATTTTCCCCAAAATAAGGGGAAATTTTCAATCCCTTCCTCAGTCTACTCTAAAGAGATTGAAAGGATTCTCCTCCTACCCCCTTTCCTGTTGTCCTTCACTGGGATTTTTTTTCAATCCTGGAGAAAAAAACACAGGACCATTGCTAGCTAACATGGCTCCTTTGTGCAAAGGGATCCTGACACCCTTTCCTCAAGACATTTTAGTACCATCTGCAACAGTTTTTTGCAATAAATACATAAATGTCTAGGATGTTAGTGGTACTACTTTAGACATGGTGCATTTGTGCAGTGCCCAACCTGCTCATCCTTAGACACTGGCTGTCGAGATCAGAGATCTACATGATGGACCTTAACATGCCCTGAGTTTAAGCTAAAATCTGGAAAGAAGGTGATGCATGGAAAGAAGCCATCTGATAAAAGTTGTGGGTGGGTTTGGAGACTCTCTCACCATTCTAATGTGCGCAGGAGGAACAATGAGCTTTTAAATGGAGCAGAATAATTGCATGACCGCATTTGAGAGCTAAAAATGTAGGCGCCTCACTGCCTCCTGCTTCCATCCAGCCCCACGCTCCCCTGGCAAAGGCAGGCAGTGGAGCTCTGAGAGAGACGTGGCACTATGCGCCAGCTTGCCTCTTGGCTCTCCATCTAGGGAACGCCTGCCACAAAGGGTGCCCCCCAAGTGACGTTCAGGGTCAGTGTGAGTTTGGGCTCTCATCTGGTGCTTTTTGTCCGACTGTTTACCAAACGACAACGTTGAGGGCTCAAATCACACTGCAGAAGAACATTGTGTCCTAGACTTGCTGTCCTGCTTCTGGAGGCGGTGGGGGCGGGGAGGGGGGGGGGAGACTAAGAAACGACTTGAGAATAAATTTCTCCCGTGCTCTCATTTCATTTTTTTTTAATGTTTTATTTCTTTCTAGGAGAGAGAGAGAGAAACAGCGTGAGCAGGGGAGGGTCAGAGAGAGGGAGTCACAGACTGAAACAGGCTCCAGGCTCTGAGCTGGCAGTCAGCACAGAGCCCGACGCGGGGCTCGAACCTACGAACCGCGAGGTCATGACCTAAGAGAATGTCAGACGCTTAACTGACTAAGCCACCCAGGAGCCCCTCTCACTTCCATTTAGGAGCCCCTGCTCGGGATGCAGAAGACATCTTGCTGAGTGCAGGCGCTCCAGTTGTGCTGAAGTCATTTGTAAAGTTAAAGTGTCTATAGATAAACCCAGAACAAACAGCAGTCCGGACCAGGTGGTGTTGGGGTAAATTCTGAGTCAAACAATATGTATTTAGAAAAACCTACAAATGCAAGACCTAGGGGGGGAAATGCTGAAATCATGTCATTATCTATAACTTTGTTCTCCTTCTTCACCATTTTAATCTAGTTCCTTGCTCTTCTTACATCTGTTTTATGAAGTTTCTCAAAACCTTTCCGGAGAGAGATCTGTTGGGGATAAAGGTCTTAGATCCTGACCTTGTTGTCTAGGATCTTCCAGCCCACGTGGGACGGTGCAGCATAAAATACATTTTTTAAAATAAAGGAAAATACCAGGGTTGTTGCAGGGCCAGGAGGAATGGTCGCCTGTCTAGTGAGGAATAGGGACATAAATGACTTTTGGTTCCCAGGAGTGTGGCATGAACAGGAGTCTGCTGGGAAATCCAAATAGAGGAAGAAAGAAAGTGGAGTGTGAAGGTTTGGGCAGAGAGGGGGGGAGCGGGGAAAGAGAAATCTCTAGGGGCAGAAATTCTATGGAGACACTCAGAGGTATGCAGAGGAGAAAACTCTGCATGTATTCAGTTGTGCTAGAGCCAGACCGAGGGCTGGCGGACGGGTTCAGAGAGCCAGCGGAGGAGACGAGCACATGCAAGGGGGAGCTCTGGGGGGCACGTAGGGGAGCTGTGGAAAGGAAAACAATGTCAGCCAAAAGTATGCTGCAAGTGATAGCAGGAAGTGCTGGAAAAAGAATGGAGAAAAAGGCATCAAATTATGCAACAAGGGTTGAAAAACACCTAAGAATCCATGTTTGCACCCATTGGGTGCCCAATCGTCCCTCTGCACTCTTGCTCAGGGGGTCCTCTGCAAAGCCACTGGGCGACAGCAGACACTTGCGCCCTGGGATCTTGCAGCACAAAAACTTGAGGAGTCTTGTCGGCCAGCCACCTGGTCCAGAGTTCTTCTGAACGCTGGTCTCCAAGATCATAACCCCATCCCTTCTAATGTCACAGCCAGGAAGATTTTCCCCTGGTCCAGGCTGGGAGGGGGATCTTTCCGGGAATTCTCAAGGACAGCCCAACCCCCATGGAGATGGGGAGGCGTCAGAATGGTGGCACCTCCACGGGTCAGGTGCACAGCTTACCGTGTATCCTTGCCAAGCCTCATCACAACCTTATAAAGGAAGTAAACGTACCCCATTTTGCAGTAAGTTTCAGAAAGGGTTGCACATATATCTAAGGTAAAACATCTAGGAACCGACAAAGTGAGGATTCGAACTCAGGTCTGTCTGACCCAGAAGCCCACATGCCTGCACTGCAAAATAGCAAGGCTGCATTTTGCAAGCAGTGCTTCAGGTGTGACTTTACAGGAACTGGCGGAGAGGATGAGGAGGGGTGAGAGGGGTGGTTCTGCCAAGAAGATTTGGACTCAATACTGACTGGGGCCACTGAGGCAGAAGGCTGCATGGGTGCCGCGTTGAGACGGCTTCAGAATCAGGTCTCTGATAGCCTGTTCATGAAGTTAATCAGTGAATTAATGAAAGGTAAACAATGGGCAGCAGCTGGAAATACTGGATGGTGCTGAAGTACATCAAAGTGCAAACTTTGGTGTTAGACATTGGATGAGTTAAACTCTGTGAGCCTCTGTTTCTCTCATCTGCAAAATGGGGATAATGACATTTACCTCATAGGACTTTTCGCAATTAAAAAAATTTTTTTCATGGTTACTTATTGTTGAGAGAGAGAGAGAGACAGAGCGTGAACAGAGGAGGGGCAGAGAGAGAGAGGGAGACACAGAATCTGAAGCAGGCTCCAGGCTCTGAGCTGTCAGCAGAGCCCAGCACAGAGCCCAGTCTCACGAACTGTGAGAGCATGACCAACCCGAGGTCGGGTGCATCAGATGCTTAATTAACCAACTAAGCCACCCAGGTGCCCCTAATGTTTATTTTTGAGAGGGAGAGAGTGCGAGAGAGAGAGAGAGAGGGAGCGTGGACACGCAGGGGAGGGGCAAAAAGAGAAGGGAAAGAGGGTCTGAAGCAGGCTCTGTGCTGACAGCAGAAAGCCCAGCAAGCCTGATGCGGGGCTCAAATTCATGAACCACAAGATCATGACCTGAGCTGAAGCCTGTGCTCAACCAACTGAGCCACCCAGGTGCCCCACACTTTTGCAATGTTTAAATGGCTGATGGGAATGGGAACGAAGTGGTTCGTACAGTGCCCAGCACATAGAGTGAGCCCTCAGCCACTCCCACCACTCATACTGTGATCATTATTATTACTATATGGGATGGGTGGTAGCTCATTTGCATAAGGAACTTCTAGAAACTAGCGTGAGCCCTTTCATTCCCATACCAGGCCCTCGGACTATCCTCTTATGATTCATTTTTCCCTCTCGGGGTCACCCAGGAGCTTATTTTCTCCTTATTTTCCCAAGACAAAATGTTGGAGGGAGAGTTCCCTGAAGCTCAGAACTGTAATCATGACCCTGGACCTCTGGTCTCCCTCCTAGACCCCACCTCGGAGCTGCAAGGGGCAGCAGCGGGGGCCGCTCAGGACCAGGAGCCCTGTGGTACCGTGGGTGTCCAGTGGGGGGAGCCAGAGAGTCGCGGCTGCCTCGCAGACCTCAGACAAGCCCTTAAGCTCCAGCAGGAGACCAGAGGCCCAGATGACAGAAACATCATGATACCTGCACAGCTTTCTGGGGGGTGTTTGGTTTTTGCTTGTTTTTTAATTCCGTGCTCCATGAAGTGCACCTGAGTTAGTGAGATCCCTGCCGTAACAGAGCACGCCATAACAAGAACTGAATTCTAAGAAGGATGGGGGAAGAAGTGGATTTTTCACTTGAATTTTAGATTCCTCTCCGTGGAAGGCTTGCATATTAAAAGGCAGCAGAGTTTGTCCTGGGATTCTCACCTGGAAAGAAGGACGCTCCAGGGAAACACTTATAGTTTTGTTTCCTCCTCACTGGGGAAAAGGGCAGGTTGGCTTTCAGAAAGTGAACTGCAGGCCCCGGTCCTCCCCACCCTCACGCCACGCGCCTGGGGACTTTGCTGGATGCTTACACCTGTGCAGAAGCTGTGTGGCGTCTGAGAGAAAATTCCACCCGGGAGCAGTCACTGAGCACAAGAGTCTACTGCGTAGCAACTTGGCCCTCAGATTTTAATTTTCAGAGACGCTATGTTGCTCTTCTTTAAATATTTCCCGAAATATTTCAGGGTGAGGGCAGAGCTCAAGGGAGAAGGAAAAGACGGATCTTGGGACACTGCACAGAGATGGCAAAGCTGCTGGCACCAAATCAAGGCCGGAGGGGTAGAGAGAGAGAGAAAGGGAAACATCAGCAGAGACAGGAAGAGAGAGAGGGAGGGAGGAAGGGAGAGTGAAACATCCCCAGAGAGTGAGAGAAAGGAAAAGAGGGGGAGGGGGAAGAAAAAGGAGAGACGTATCAGCGGGGGGTGGGGGTAGAGAGAGACATCAGGTACAGGACAGGAGACTGGCCCTCCGCAATGCTTTGGCCCTGGGGCTGGAAGTGGGAGGAGAAAGCCAAGTGCACAAGTGAGCAGAGCGGGGTTCCGAGTATAAAACTGTGAGGTGCCTCCTCCCAGCACTATCTCTGCGGAGCACCCTCCCTCTCAGTGGAGCCCAGCAGGGCTTTATCAGCCAGTGCCTTCTGCCACCAGGAAGCCAGTGGAGTGTGAGTACCCTCCTCCTCCTTGGTTCTATTCATTTCCAGCTGCTCCTTGTTGCCAGTTCATCTTCTTACTCCTAATTGTTGCTTCTCGCCCTTTCCTTCTTGTTAATGAAGAAATACAGCTCACCTGGTTGCAACCGAGTAGAAGCAGCCAAGTCAGAGTGCTGGCAGTCTAGAAAGCACCTTTCCAAAGCCGCAGGCTTCTTCCTAGGAGCCTGGAAGCAATGTCTTTGCTCATGATTTCTGGAGCTGGGTAGAAGGAGCACCCGAGCTCCGTGTGCAAGAGGGGTTTGGGCAAGCGGTCCACTTTACGTGCTGACTGGCTCGGGGTGCATCAGTGCTGTGTAGGGGTTTCGAGCTGTGTTCTTGAAATAACTGAGTAAAGTTGGAGACCTATCAATACGGCTCAAAAGAAAGTGGGGTGCTGGGAATGGCCCTTCCCAACTCCGGCTCTCTGCACCTCTCTGCCTGTGCCGTCATGTTGGAGGGGGCGTGCAGGCCGCCCATCGGGAGACCTGGCGGTCACCCTGCGACCCAAGATCTCACGGCTTCTTTGCTGCTGCATTTTCTGGTCTGGAATTCAGACCTCAAGGCTTCTAGGAGTGGTGCCCTCTGAGGACAGAAGTGTTTTCCTCAGGAGACAAGAATACCTGACAGCATTTTCTTTATTTCTGATAACAGCTTTAAAGAAACCCGAGCACCTCCTACCTCTTCAGACCAAAAGCTACCTAAGCTCAGGATTACTGTAAGTACCAAATCAATGTCAATACTTTCATTCTCCTTATGCTAGAGCATGGATGTTTAAATGTTTTCTTCTATATGTGTTTCCAAAACTTTGGATTTTTTTTTTAAGTGCTACTTGAGCCATAGACAATTAAAGACTTTCAGGCCTCTCCAATTGCATAGCTTTCTAATATGCCCCGGCAACAGAATGAATTTTATTTCATCAAATAAAATAGGGAGTGTTGGTTGAGTTGAAATCTTGTATTGTCTTGCATTGGAATAAGTACTGCTGCATTTCACTGGGGATTTGGGTTTTGACTAGTGCTTTCTGACCCCAGCTGGAAAGTTCAACAGGTGTAGCTTCCAGAAAATTCCTCAGATGTTGTGGAGGATGTGCCAGTGATGGAAAAGGATGAGGCTCACTTTGAGGGACAGGGACCTGTCTGTCTGTCAGAGGAATCACCGTTTGCAGCAAGGGCATGGGGTCGGGGCGGGGGGGAGCCTGGTGGTTGTTTGCCCCCGCCCCCACCCCAGGGTTACTTCACGGCGGGCCATGAAGACAGCCTGTGTGCACTGCATCGCTGAGCCCTCACACACCCTGCAGACCCCCTCTGCAAAGAGGCTCCTTCACTCTTTGTTGACTTGAACAGACTCTTGGGTGGCATTACTCGCCTGCTCCAGGAAGGCAAAAACCACCGCAGCTTCCGTACTGCATGAGGCTGACTCTGCCGAGTAAACTCGGATGGTCCCCACTCTGAACCTCAGTTTTCCCTTCTGTAAAGTGAAGGCTTGAACTTCGTGCTCTTTACAACCTCACGTGGCTCTCGCATTTTTCTCTCTTGGCTCTAAGAAAATACCAATGTTGAGCTCAAGGATATTGTCCTCTTAGATGTGTGATTATGGTGGCCGGGGACAGGCGGGAGCTATGCAGCGGTCAGAGGGGTAAACACCAACACTGAGGGAATGTGACAGTCCCTGCTTGTCTTTTTTATTTTCTTCTTTCCTTTTTTCAAACCGCATGTAAGATGAGAGCCCTACCTTTGGTTTTTCATAATGCTGTTCTTCATCAAACAAAAAAATAATGCAACCCATAGATGCTTCTGTTTGGTACTTAACTAACCAGATAGTTTAACCATTGATAAATCTCTAGACACACAATTTTTTCTAAGACATGTCAGTAATATTTTCCGTAACTGTGGCTTTTTCAAAGCAAGTCAGTAAAGGAAAGTAAAAAAAAAAAAAAAAAAAGGAAGGTGGGGGAAAAAAAATACCACACACAGAGGCAACTTTTCTGGAACTTCTGAAGGAAGAATGATAGCCCTGAATGGGAGAAAAGTTTTTCTTTTTTAAAATAAAACTTTGAAGGGCGCCTGGGTGGCTTAGTCGGTTAAGCGTCCGACTTTCGCTTAGGTCATGATCTCGCGGTTCGTGGGTTCGAGCCCCGCGTCGGGCTCTGTGCTGACTGCCAGCTCAGAGCCTGGAGCCTGTTTCAGTCTGTNCGAGCCCCGCGTCGGGCTCTGTGCTGACTGCCAGCTCAGAGCCTGGAGCCTGTTTCAGTCTGTGCCTCCCTCTCTCTCTGACCCTCCCCTGCTCACGCTGTCTCTCTCTCTCCTAGAAATAAATAAAATAAAACTTTGAGGGGCGCCTGCGTGGCTGACTCAGTTAAGCATCTGACTTCAGCTCAGGTCATGATCTCACAGTTCGTGGGTTCAAGCCCCGCTTCAGGCTCTGTGCTGACAGCTCGGAACCTGGAACCTGCTTCAGATTCTGTATCTCCCTCTCTCTCTACCCCTCCCCTGCTCGTTCTCTGTTGCTCTCTCTCAAAAATAAACGTTTTTTTAAAAAATTTTTTTAAAAAGAAAGAAAAAATTAAAAATAAAACTTAGAGGAGCACCTGGGTGGCTCAGTCAGTTAAGCATTTGACATCGTCTCAGGTCATGATTTCATTGTTCATGAGTTTGAGTCTTGCATCAGGCTCTGTGCTAACAGTGCAGAGCCTGCTTAGGATTCTCTCGCCTTCTCTCTGCCCCTCCCACACACTCTGTCTCTCAAAATAAACAAATAAACCTAAAAAATATATATATAATCAATCAGTCTTAGGAAAAGTTTCCACACTTGTGAATTCAACTAAGAATGGTTTGTTATTAACAAGGCGATATCCAATATTTAACAATTCTTATTTTGATACCAAAAAAATGCCATTGAGCAGTCTCTGAGACGGGGCTTTTGCCGTGCATTAAAAGTGTGGTTTGTATCTTACTACAGAAAATAGAACCCACGCCCATGCCTTCTTCTGTTGGTAAAGAATAAGGCTGAGGGAAATTGTTGCATTGCGTCGGTCCCCAAGATGGAGCCCTAAAGTTTGCTGAAGCAGGTCTGAGCCTCCCTCTGGACAGGCTTCAGATCTACCAACCTCCCGCTGGCAGTGAAACACAGAGCACAGTCTGTGCATTGGTCTCTGTGCAGGATGGTTTACCATCATTTTTTCCTTTTATTTTAAACAAAGCAAAATGAACATTCCATGTCTGTAGTTAGCTCATTGTCTCTCGTTGCTGGTGGAGAAGTGCCTTCTCCGTTTGCAGTCTCCATCTGGGGCCACAGCTCTGCTCCCCAGAAACCCACCGGTTGCCCTCCTGCCCCCCACCCTGCTGCATTTCAAGTGCTCAGCCTGCTGATTCACGTCTTTTTGCCCTTTGTCAATTATGGAGAGAAAGGAAGGATGAATGGACGGTCTTTGATTGGCGGTGCTGGTGACGCCCCTTGTGGTCTTTGGAAAGACTGTTTTGGAGTTAAGGCTGGTGAGGCTGCGCACAGAGGCTTCTCCTGGCAGAGTGTGGCCCAGGCGCATGGGCCTCCGGAACAGGTACGATCTGTCTCAGGGATGCCTCTGCCTCCAGGAATGCGGGTGCCTGCGCTCCACTCTCCGGTGTGTCTTTCCTGAACAGAGCCTGGGAAGTGGGGTTCTCATGCTCTGCTGAGTGTCATGGCTTGGGTTCAGCCGGATGCATGGGAGTCGGTGGCCTGAAAGTCATATGGCGCTCATCTTGGGTTACACGCTCCCTTGTTGAACTAATGAGTTTTGTTAACAGTGGAAAAGCAAGGGAAAAAAGTAGTCTGGGGTTTAATCTTACTCTGCTTCTAATTAATTAGAGCTTCTTCCTTTCATTTTCTTATCTTTTTAGTTAAATTTAATGGCCTACTTAGATTTAAGAAATCTGCGTATCAGTAGAAGTTCCTTGCTGCATTCCCTTCCTGATTGGAATTATTAAAGTTTCCCCCAAGACCTGCAAATAGTGAAGCGTGATAAAATTCTAAGGTGAACTACAACCTTGAAGGTACTGGTTTCTCATGACCAGCACTCCTTCCTGAGTTCTGGAGCAAGTCGTCAGGACTCAAGGGGTTCTGGAAGTGTTTAGTAGTTTAGAACACAAGGTTTGGGGTATGGAAGGTAGGGGTCTGCCACAGCAGCGACTGCCGGCTTAACTCGGGAGAGGAGGCCTCTCTCTAAGGGACGGTACCCCCAACAACCCATCCCAACGTGTGGGTACTGGAGACCTAGATCACAGTAAGCCTTCTGTAGCCTGGATTTAGACAAAGCTCCGGCTTTAACTTTGGGTGGCTCCTCAGGGAGCTCAGGCCGTACAGGTTCTCAATCACGTCTGGCCAGTTAGAATATCGAGTTTGGCATCTGTTATCTCCAAAATCTCTGAGGTAGTGGTGTTTTTAAAATAAATAAATATATGCCAGACATTCCTAGAACATGAATTTGTTTACCCTGGAATAACCTATCTACTTGTTTCTGTAGCTGCTGGAAAACCTGTAATGTTTTCATTCAGTGCTGCCTCTGTAGGAATTGACCTCAGTTACAGAAACTCAAAGCAATTGTGTCTGAGGTCCTTGACGTTGCCTGAGGCTAAGCCTCTCGCAAATGGGTCACTAGAGCTGAGGAAGGACCTTACTGAGCAATATTGTCAGTTATATGATTTAAAGAGGAAGATATATGAACATAAATGATATCACTTAGATTACAAAATAAAAGGTCATTTTTCACAATTGCTTAGAATTTGAATAGTTTTCCATGTGTAACTGTGAGGTCAGCTGAGCTCCATATAGACAACCTTTTGATTCCTGATCTCCAGCAATTTTCAATTTAAGAATTACTTAATCTGGGGCACCTGGGTGGCTCAGTTGGTTAAGCGTCTGACTTCAGCTCAGGTCATGATCTCATGGTTCATGGGTTCAAGCCCTGCGTCGGTCTCTGTGCTGACAACTTGGAGCCTGGAGCCTGCTTCAGATTCTGTGTCTCCCTCTCTCTTTGCTCCTTCCCTGCTCATGCTCTGTCTCTCTCTCTCATTCTCTCTCTCTCTCTCTCAAAAAAAAATGAATAAGCATTAAAACAAAAATTTAAAAAAATTTCTTAATCGCACGGTTCATTGGAAAGCTCACAAATGCTAGTGTCTAATACTATTTTGCCAAGACAAAATGAGTGTGGTCTAGAATTCCTTGCATAGATAGTTCTGCTTTGTGCAATGATTAATGGCTGGCCATTGTTTAAAAGCGGAGCAGTTAGTTGGGCAGTGAAATAATGGAATTGAAGTGTAATGGTTACCCAATAAGAAATCAGTTACCCACATTGATTTTGGTACTGTGATTAATAGAAGCCCAAACTAGCCAAGATTGAAAAAAACATTTTTTTAAGGAATAACTTTATTATCTTTTAATAGATGTTTGTTGGCTATGGCAAATGCAACAATGATAGGGCTAAAAATAGCCATGAGCGCCCCTCTCACAGCCTGGTCACAGGGAAGAAGAGCTGGTTTATCTGCACAGATCTGGGGTATTACCTTGGTCATGTCTTGTATGCCTGTGGCTTCAACATTCCACTTGTGCTTTCTGCAGTCTGATAGTTTTGATGTTTTCCTACTCCATGCTTACCTGCCTGTGCTCTTGACATTTCTTGCATGCACGGTGGTCTTGCCATTGTCTTTCTCCCTTTGCCCATCTCTGGAATTACATCATTGG